AAAAAATTTTTTTTTAAATCTACTGGTAAGTAAGCAAATAATCTTTATTGAAATACTGAATGTAGGTGTTTTCCCTTTGGAATACATAAAATCCTGCACTACCTTTCAATTTTACAACATCACAAAACAGTAATGCAAATTTTTCACCTAAGAGTGAATACGTTTGGATGACAGATAACACTATGGATGATGACAGCAGTATCTAAGAGCTAAGATTTTACACCAATTTACCTAGTCTTATTTGACTTGGACTTGTTTTGGACTAATTCGGGAACTAGAAATCTCATCTACATATTTTGTTACTGCAGTAACTACCTTCATTTCATATGCAAATTTGTCCTTGTTTCCTGCTAAAAATTCTCTGAGTATATAATAATCTTCCGTTCCTAATTTGGGGTGATAACAAAACAAAAGTGTTTCTAACCTAGGTTATTTGATTTTTCACACCTCTTTCTTTCAAGCATTAAAAACAGAACTTCTAAGGACATAAAAGAGCTACTGTTTTTCCCCTTGGATACAAATTATTATACAAAGAAATAACAGGCACAAAGACTGCAAAGGCCAAAGGGACACATGCCAAATAGAGACACTAGGTCACAAAAAGAAAGAAGCACACACAAAAAACAAGAGAAAGGGTTTGAAGCTTATTTTTTCCCCTTAAGTAATTGTTTTTTTTTTAATGTGTTCACCTTTTTTTAAAGATTTTATTTATTTATTTGAGAGAGAGAGTGAGAGAGAGAAAGAGCACATGAGAGGGGGGAGGGTCAGAGGGAGAAGCAGACTCCCCGCTGAGCAGGGAGCCCGATGCGGAACTCGATCCCGGGACTCCAGGATCATGACCTGAGCCGAAGGCAGTCGCTTAACCAACTGAGCCACCCAGGCGCCCTAGAGTTGGTTTTCTATTAACTGAATCCCTACTACCAGGCACCTGCGCAAGAGTGTGATGAGGGGTGATGTGGTAATTCAAGGCAGAAGCATAAGAGAGACTGGCAACAGGAAGGGAGAAAAAGACTATTACCAAAGCAGACTCGACAGAACTTTGCTGCTAATCGGGTACTGCAAAGAGAATGAGAGATTTTAACTTTTATTTCTAAACTTTAGGTCGAAAGTTAGTCTTTAATTTAGTGTCTAGCATTATTTACTAACTTTTTTTAAAGATTTTATTTTTTAAGTAATCGCTGTACCCAACATAGGGTTCGAACTTACAACACCGAGATCAAGAGTGGCATGCTCTACTGCCTGAGCCAGCAAGGCATCCCGACTAACTTGTTTCTTAAAATGCTTAGGATCAAAACTAATGATGTAATGTATGGTGATTAACATAATAAAATTAAAAAATAAAATAAAATAAAATGCATAGGATCGGGGCATCTGGGTGGCTCAGTTGGTTAAGCATCTGCCCTCCGCTCAGGTCATGATCCCGGGATCCTGGGGCCCTGGGGTGGAGCCCCACATTCCAGGGAGCCTGCTTCTCCCTCTCCCTCTGCCACTCCCCCTGCTTGTGCTCTCTCACTCTGTCCAAAAAATAAACAAAATCTTTAAAAAAAAATGCTTAGTGACTGAGCCACCCAGGCGCCCTTTCTCTGCCTCTCCCCAAGCTCCAAAGAACTTTATTCACTAAATTGTAAGTTCTTAAGGGCAAGGATCACACCACAGTTATTTCTATATTCCAAATACTCAGGTCAATGTACACAGTATTTATAAATGTTTATTGAATGAATAATTTCCACCATTTGTCTCCTCTCATCTTTTCTTCCACCATTCTTTTCCTTTATTTCTGTGTGTCTCTCTCATTTCTGTATACATCTATGTCTATATGCTTGTCTCCAATTTTCTCTTCATGTCTATTCATCACTTGTCCCTTATCCTCCTTACCCCCATCTCTTCTGTTACTACCATAACAGTATTTGTTTCAATCTATTGAATTGAAATTGATGGTCTCTGTTCTTAAATTGATTTAAATAGACCATTTTAAATTTTTTTTTTTAAGATTTTATTTATTTATTTATTTGACACAGAGAGAGAGAGCAGGAGAGCACAGGCAGGGGGAGCGGCAGAGGGAGAGGGAGAAGCAGGCCCCCCGCCGAGCAGGGAGCCGGATGTGGGGCTCAATCCCAGGACCCCAGGATCATGACCAGAAGGCAGTCGCCTAACTGACTGAGCCACTCAGGCACCCCATTTTAAATTTTTCTTAAAACTGTTTTTTACCATATGGCCCTCAATTTATTATTTTTTTAAAGATTTTATTTATTTATTTGACAGAGAGAGACACAGCGAGAGAGGGAACACAAGCAAGGGGAGTGGGAGAGGGAGAAGCAGGCTTCCAGCTGAGCAGAAAGCCCGATGTGGGGCTCTATCCCAGGAGCCTGGGATCATGACCTGAGCCGAAGGCAGACACTTAACAATTGAGCCACCCAGGCACCCCTCAATTTATTATTTTTTAAAGTTGATTCTGAAAAGAAAAACAGCCACTCTTGTTCTAAAAGGAAAAGAAAGGGATATAACAGATGTTTGTGTTGGGGGACTATTCAAATCTTGAAAATATTATAAGGGTGGGGGAGCTAAAATACTAATCAGAAGAAAAAAATATTAAAAAATTAAAAACTCCCCAATTTTAATCAGATATCTAAAAAGGTTATGGGGGGGTAGTGAAAGTTGAAAAGTTCAACGTGTACTATTATTTCTAAAAATCTAAAGTGTAGTTGAAAATGTTACATTGGACATCTTCTTTCAACACTAACTTATTTTAAAATCTCTTAACTTCAACTTTACTTATTTGTAAATGTTTACACTGTGTTATGTTGTATTTGTAATCTGTAGAAAATGATCCTTCTTCCTTTGAAGTACTTGATTGTGTGCAGTTTGTCGAACCCTGAAAGTAAAGGAGCTTTTCAATCTTAGTTGTAAAGCAGCAATTTCCTTTCAGCCTCTCCTACTCAGATAACATCTCAACTCCCAAATCACTAAGCAAATCAACAAAATGCAAGAATATAAAGCAGTGAAAGAGACAGTTCTTCCCCCATGATATTGATTTATTTTTTCCTCCCATAATATTTAAAGTTGTTTCTTTACTCTGTGAAATAGTAGCATTGCCCCTACACATATAAAAGGTTATTTCTGATAATAGTACAATCCACTTAAAAGGAAAAATTTGGATGCCTACCCTCAATTTCGTTTATATGTAATTTTTATCAACAGAAGCCAACCAAAACGTGACTTGAAGAGTAATGATATTAAAATACAGAATACTGTAGACCCAAAAACCTCTAAATTTCTTTGACTTTTTTTCTCAAGGAACCCACATCGTTTACTAAAAAGAGAAAATGATCATAAGTTTGTGATTAAACTTGTGCACTGAGGAGTAAGGCTCATCCTCCCAAAATGGGCGTGACGTTAAGAGAATCTCATCCCATTTAGGAAAAAGAAAGGACGCACGGGGCGAGGAGCCACAGGGCAAGCCGCGGCCCCAAAGACACAAGGCAGTTGGGCTTAAACACAGAAAAGCCCCACGAAGCCCTTCTCCTGCCTGACAACGAGATCTGAGAGTAGCGCCCCCTTCAAAAGCACATCCTGCCCAGGAAGGAGAGCAAAGGCACCCAGCATAGGCACAACGTACACAGTTCCAGGTCAAGAGAGAAGTCAGGAAGACCCAGGTTCTACTAAAATAAGAAATACTGAGTGTTCGCGCACAACGTGCACGCCCTTCCGGGGCAGGGAAGACCAACAAAGATGCATAAACCAACTCGGTAAGAACATAATAGCGTGCGCCCACACCTCTCATCCCACACCGGATCCGAAGCGCGGCTGCGTTGGGACTCCGGTCCACACCAAGCCAGGCGAGCTGCAGAGGACTCAGCCCGGCAAGAGAGCAGAAGCTCTGGGGGCTCGTCCAGGAGGGTGGAGACGCAGAGATACTCCCAGTCCCTCACCTGCAGGGGCGAGCGGGACCGAGCGCAGGGGGGAGGCGCGAAGCACCGGGAGCGGCGCGCACAACCCTCACCTGGCAGAAGCATCTCTGCGCCGCCGTCACAGGGGGCTGCTGCCCACCATGACCCGAGCCGAGCAGCCACACGGCCCCCACGAGGCCGATCAGGAAGACCCAGCGGCGGCCCATAGCCGCTCTAGCCGATCGTCACCCGGCGCCTCGCGGTCCCAGCACTCGGGCGCAGGCCGCGCGTCCGCAGATGAAGCCCGCGCGGGCCGGCCTCCGGCGGCGCCCCACCTCCGGGCCGCCTCCCAGGCCCGCCCTCGGCTCTCCCGCCTCTCAGCGGCCGCCACCTCCCGGCGGAGCCTGCGGACGTGCCTAGGCGCCCGCAGCGGGCCGCCCGGGGCCTCGAGTCGGCTTCCTTCCCCGCGCGTGAGGCTGACGCACAAACCCGCTTCCCGGTTCGGCCCCGCCCGGCGCGCTGCGCCCGTCCCCGGCCCCCCTTCGCCCGGCGCCTGGTCCCTCGCTCGGGTGCTGCCGCCCCAACCCCCGCGCGGGAGTCGGGGGTCCTTCCCGCTGCGAGAGCGAGGGCGAAACCGGAGGGGTCTGGGTCTCCCCGCAGGGCCCCGCCCCACCCCACCCCGCGCACTCCCGGCCAATCCTTCGGTATCTCAAAGCGAGGAAGGAAAACCGTACGGATTACGCGTCCACAGTGTCCCTAGCCGTCTTAAAGCTGAAAGGGACATGAGTGATCATCTAGACCAGGGCTGCATAGGTAATTTAGAGTTTCTAGTAGTTACTAGAGCAAAAAGAAACAGGTGAAGTTAATTTTAATATATTTTATTTAACCCAATATATGCGAAACATTTCGAAATATACTCAATATTAAATTATTCATAAAATATTTTACATGTTGTTTTTAAATCTAATCTGGTGTGCATTTTATGCAAACTAGCCACATTTCATAGTCAAATGTAGCGAGTGGCTACGATTGTATCCGTCAGCGCAGGTGGAAACTTCCTCTCATTTCATCTCCCCAGAGCGGGGAGATGACGTGAGGAAAAGACAAGCTCGTCCTTTAATTCCGAGCCGTGGATCTGAGTCTAGAAGCCTTTTTTTCAAGGAGAAATTTTCACGATGAAACTGGAAAGCTTCCCAACATCTTATTAACATTTCCAAATATTTCAAATTATCTTTTTTTTTTGGTATGTCATTTTTTTTAAGATTTTATTTATTTATTTGACACAGAGAGAGAGAGAGCGAGAGCAGGAACACAAGCAGGGGGAGCAGGAGACGGAGAAGCAGGCTACCCACGGAGCAGGGAGCCCGATGTGGGGCTCGATTCCAGGACCCTGGGATCATGACCTGAGCGGAAGGCAGACGCTTAACGACTGAGCCACCCAGGCGCCCCTTGGTATGTCATTTTTAATGAAGTAGCTTAGGATATGGTAGGCCCCAAATAGGTATTACTTCTGTTTTCCAGCTGAGAAAAATAAGCATAGAAAGTCTATATATGTTATTCAAAGTTACATGATATGCTAGAGGTGAGACTCAAACTCAGATATTTCTTACTTCAATGCCCATAACCTATGCTCTGCTTTCACTTGGCAAGTGGACTGTCGCATCGTAAAATGTCATCAACCATCTGAGATCCTGGTGGGCCTGAGAAGCTCAGATTCTAATATCTACAATATGCTACATTTACATATTAATCCAATCTCCCTCTTTGCCTAGCAACTTCTTTTTCATCATACCTGTCTACTGATCCTACTTCTCTCTCTAGGGCCAGACCCAGCTCATTCATTCCCTCTTCAACATGGTCTTTCTGGTTTCCTCTTCACCCATTTCCAGTCTCTAAATGAATTTCAATCCAATAAACTTACTCTATGCCAGACTAAGCTTGACATTAGAGATATAAAGACATAAGGTCCAGTCCCTGCATACAGAGGGACACGCTACAGAACTTAGCATGTGATCCTTTATGACATTTCTACTTCATGTTTCTACCACTGAATTGTAATCCCTTTCAACTCTTCAAGCGGGAATTTTGCCTCAAACATACCTGTGACTCTCAGTATCTTAACAAGGCTTCTCTGCCTGTGTTTGTAAAATGAATGAATATTTTTTCATATACAGTATTAATATCTGAAGATTACACTCTCAAAAATAAGAGATGAAAATGGAGAAACTAAATGAATAAAGCCTAAAATTGCAGGAGGAAGCAATCTGAATATGAATCAGCTCTGGATTTCACCCTGATGCAATAAACCTGTAATTTGGGAGAGTTTAAAAGTATGAACGTTCCCAGGATGAAACCTCTATTCCTCAGATTTGAACTCTTGCCCACAACAAATTTCTAGCAAACTTGTAATCAGAAACCATCACCATATAAGACCATTTAGTTTTTACTCTATTGCTTTTTCAGCTTTATTGAAGTTTAATTGACTAATAAAATTGTAAGATATTTAAAATGTATGTCATGATGATCTGATACACAGATGCCATTGTCAAAGGATCCCCCCCACTGAGTTCATTAACACATCTATCATCTCACATATTTACCTTTTATTCCTCCTTGGTGAGAACATTTAAGTTCAACTCTCTTAGCAAATTTCAATTATACAAATAGTTAACCAACTATAGTCACCATATTAGACATTAGATCCTAAGAACTTATTCATCTTATGTTTGAAGGTTTGTACACTTTTGCCAATTTCTCCCTACCCCTCCTCCCCCCAGCCCCTGCCAACCACTTTTCTACTCTCGTTTCTATGAGTTTGACTTTTTTATTTTTTTTTAAATTTCACGTATTAGTGATACCATGCAGTATTTGTCTTCCTCTGTCTGGCTTATTTCACTGGGCATGATGCCCTCAAGGCCTATCTATGTTGTAGCAAACAGCAGGATTTCCTTCTTTCTTGTAGCTGAATCATAGTCCATTGTATATGTATACCACATCCCCTTTATCCATTTATCCACTGATGCACACTTAGGTTATTTCCATACTTTGGCAATTGGGAATATGCTGAATGAACATGGGAGTGCAGCTATCTCTTTGAGATAATGGTTTCATATGCACCCAGAAGTGGGATTGCTGGATCTTACTTTATTGTCTTAATAATTATAATTTTCCCTTTCAGCTTTGTCAGGGACTTTAGAATGTGTAAAACACAGTTTTATACACATTGCATAACGACCACTGACATTTATTTCCCCGAAAATCCTTCAAGTTGGTCCTTTTTGTGTGAGTTTACTTTTCCCACTCTGCCTGCTCTGGAAATCACCTCACCTGTGTTAGGGCCTATGAAATAACTGATTAGTCATTCAGTAACTATTAAGGAGCACCCACAGAGCACACAGTTCAACCTTTGCTCTCCAAAAGTCCAGCCTCCCTTCTATTATACCTTAGCTAAACAACATTAAATTTTTTAGAGATGAACAAGGTCACAACCTTGTTATTCTAATACCAGTGATTATAATAATAACATAACTTAGATTTAGTGTACACAGCATTTCTTGATGGAATTCTGATTACCTGTGCAAACAACAGCTATTTTTTTTTTTTTTAATGACCAAAGCCGGAAATGGCTTGAACCCAATTTCTCAAAATGAGACATGGAGATTTCTGTAGGAAGCTTCTCAGTACCTAAACATTTTCTGGCACTGAATAGGCTGGAAGGAAATCATCTCAAGGGAAAAATTTGCTCAAGGAAAAGGAATATTATGACACGCAAGAGGAAGAAAGGCTAAGTAAAAATCTAAAGGTCTGGTGTTGATAGTTGATTAGATCTATTTATCTAATTAGTATTTATTGAATATAAATATGCATGTTATACATTGCTAGAATTTTCTCCCAAGACACTTGAGATTATTTGAGATGGGGAGAAATGCCACCTAAGCTCTATCTTCACCTCCTTTCCCTCATATTCCTGGAATAACAAGCTTCATATAGTAGTAACTGACTTATTAACTTCCCACTTACCCTTTAACCCCACTGTGCAGTGAGGTTTCTAACTCTACCCTCCTATTCCTCTATATCTGGCCATCTTATGGTCAAATCTAATTACCATTTTCATGAGATCATGAAATCTCTGCTGCACTTTGACAATGCTCATTCCATCCTCCAGTTCAGTGTCTATGCACCAAACACTCCAGATTCTCCTTACACTTCTCTAATATTATTTAACTGTCTCCTTCATGGGCTTTCCCCCAGGCTACATCTAAGATGTGAGTGTTCCCCAGGATTCTATCCTCTGTCCAGTGCTCTTCTTCTATACTTGCCCCTGATGAAACTTGCCCATTCTCACAATTTTAAATACCTCCTCCCTGCCAATGTCTCCCAAATCTATTTTTCTAGTTCAGATCTCTCCCCGACATTCAAAAGCCAACTGCCTACTGGACACAACCATCTGCTTTCCTCACCACCATCCATATCTAGACACCTAAGAAGCAGGAAGCCACCCTCAGTTTCTCCCTTTTTTTCACCAATCAATAGATTTGTTATCTATTAGTCAACCAAGTCCTGCCAGTTCTTTCTTCAATTTATTCCCTCCTCTCCATCTTTATGACCAAGGAGTTAGTTTCAGCCCTTATTGTCACTCACCTGATTTATTGTCACATTTTCTTAAATGATCACCCAGGCTCTAAGCTTGTCCCCATCAAAAAACAGCCTCAAAAAAAAAAAAAAACACACACACAAAAAACAGCCTCCATGCTAGCCTGATTTCTCAAAAATATAAATCTGACCACATCACATCTCTGTTTAAAAACTCCAATGCTCCCCACTATCTGAGGAATCAAATTCAAGATTCTCAGCATGACATTCAAAGTCCCCATGATCTGGCCTCACCTATTTTTCCAGCTATATCTCTAATACCTCTCTGCCTTACGGTCACTGAACTATTAACAATTCCCCATATAGACCTTGTTTCCACCCTCCATGTTTTTACTCACTCTGTTTCCACTCCTGAAATGTTTTTTGCCCTGCCTTATATGGACCATCCTCACTTCATCTGGCTAACTCCTTTAAGATTAAGCTCAGGCAACTGCTACCTCCATGAAGTCTTCCCTAACTTCTCTGTGGTTGGATTAGGTTTCTCCTTTTTGGTTCTATAAGCTCATATAATTGTGCTTAGTATGTGGAATCAAATATGTATTTATGTAAATGTTCTCCCCATTCAGCAGAGGGGTAGAGAACTTGCCTTGGTAGTCTCAGCTTCCTCAGCACTTAGTGTGTGAGTTTCAC